AGGAAGGAAGGAAGGAAGGAAGGAAGGAAGGAAGGAAGGAAGGAAGGAAGCAAGGAAGGAAGGAAGGAAGGAAAGAAGGAAGGAAGGAAGGGAAGGAAATCTGTAACGACACTGCCCAGTTCAAGAAGGAGAGCAAAGACAAGAGTTCCACTCTCCGTCCACTTGATCTTAACACTCACAGACGTGATCTAAGGTTGTACAGAGAGGTGGGTTATTTACATCAACTTCAGAAACAAAGAAAAAGGGACTGTGATCTCCATGCTATACAGCTCTGAGGAATTCTTACATGATGCCCGCCGAGCCAGTCAGACTCCATTAAGAGAGAAAGGTTAGCAGGATGTTGACAGAGATGCAGTTTCAAATATGCTTAAAGGAGTTACTTTGACCATGAGCAGAGTAAAAGCCATGGAAAAAGCAAAGCAAACTTGCACTTGAAGATGGGGAACAGGAAGTAAGAATGACAAAGCTTAAAGATAGAAAGCATTAAATATCACTGAAGAGCAAACTTATCAGCCGTCTCCCCCCAGAAGGTGAGCGGACAAAAACTGGCTGAAGAGAAAAGATTCTGGGGCTGGAGAGATGGCGCAGCAGTTAAGAGCTGACTGCTCTCGCAAAGGACCTGGGTTCGATTCCCAGCACCCACATGGCGGCTATGAACCATCCTTAACTCCAGTTCCAGGGGAATCCGAAGCCCTCTTCTGACCTCTGCGGCATTTCACGACACGGGTGCACTCACATACAGGCAGGCAACACACTCTTACACATAAAATAAAAAATAATAAATATTTTTTTTAAAAAAATAAAGATTCTGTTAGGAACTGTTTCAAAAATTCAGCAGTATGTTGGATGAAGAGCTATTCTTAAAACAATGACAGAGAATTGGCCAAGAGAGACCCAATAAACAGAAATCCAGAGGGGGCTGTGGGCAATAAGAGTATCTAATTAGGATTTAAGGCAAAATAAATCATTGAGGAAGAAAGAAAATTTTTTTGTTTGTTTGTTTTTTGAGACAAAAAACTTGTAGGTCCAGTTGCTCTAGAACTCACTATGTAGACCAGGCTGGCCTCAAATTCACAGAGGTCTGCCTGCCTTTGCCTCCAGTGCTGGGATTAAAGACATGTACCACCATGCCCAGCTAGAAAGATTTTTTTTTTTTTGGTCTTTTTGAGACAGGGTCTCCCTGTAGCCCCAGCTATCCTGGAACTCACTATGTAGACCAGGCTGGCCTTGAACTCACAAAGATCCACCTGCCTCTGCTTCTGGAGTGCTGGGATTATAGGTGTGTGCCACCACGCCTGGCTCTAGGAAGATAATTTTTATATTGGAAAAATATAAAATTCACTGTGAAGACCTAATGTATAAAATTACTTATTGGAGGCTGGAGAGATGACTCGGTAGTTAAGAACACATACTACTCTTGCAGAGGACCCAAGTTTGGTTCCCAGCATGTATATCAGGTGACTCACAACTGCCTGTAGCCCCAGCTCCAGTGAGATCTGATGCCTCTGGTTTCTGCAGGCACCTGAGCTCATGTGCATATACGTGCGGGCACAGACACACACACACACACACACACACACACACACACACACACACACACAATTTAAAATAATAAAAATAAATCTTAAAAATATTTATTGGGCTGGAGAGATGACTCAGTGGGTAAGAGTGCTTGCTGCCTGAACACGAGGCTCCGAGTTTGAATCCCCAGCACCCATGTAAAGAGATGGGTTGGCCACACACATGCTTGTAACCCCAATGCTCTCTGGAGTGGAAACAGGAGGATCGCTGGGCTTTTTGGATATCAGCCAACCTCCAAATTCAGTGAGAGACCCTGTCACAAAGGAGTAAGTCAGAGAATGATGGAATAGGACATCAACGTCCTCCTCTGGGCTTCCTGTGTGCAGAAGCACACACAGCCACTCATACACCATACACACATAAAAATATAACAAATAAACAGATAAAAACATACACATGCCAAAGATATAGCATCCAAATACATAGAGTTAAAAAATAAAATGGCAGGAGAGATTGACAAAAAACTAAATGCAAACCTGAGACCATTCCATTGCTTACCTTAACAAATATCAATTAAGCAATAAATAAGAAATTAGAAAAAACTCACAAGATTAATAACATGAATTTTCATCCTTCAACACAGAATATCTGATATTTTCCAATATTCATTGAACATTCATAAAAAATGGTCTTATACAAAAGAGAAAAAGTCAACATTCTCCACAGAAGGAAAACGTAATCCAATCATAACACAATAAAGCTAGCTTGTAATTTTTCTAAAGTATAAACAAATAATAGCTGAAATTTTGAGGAAAAGCCCCTAGAGTCAAAGAAAGAACAAAACTACAATTAGAAAGTCTTTCTGAAATAACAACTACCCATCAAAATTTACGGGATATGGTCAAAGTTGCACTTAGGGGAAAATGCCTTTTAATGCTTTTATTATCAAACAAGAAATAATGGGACTAATTCAATTCATGAAACCCGCAAAGGGCAACGTCAGCCTAAGGTAAGTGGGAGAAAAGAATGAATAAAGATAAAAGAAGAAATCAATACCTCAGATAATGGAGAAAGAATAAAATTGATAGCCCCGGCCCTAGAACTTTTAAAAGACCAATAAAACAGGCAAAGTTCTGACAAGACCAAGGGAATGGAAAGGAAGGTAAAATATAGGAGCCCATGGAGAAGGGGAAAGGGCAGGCATGAACCACTGTGCTAGGTCCCTACACTTGACAAGTGATTTCCTCAAGACAGACAAAAAGTGATTAATGAATAAAAATAAAACCAAGGGGATGAATAAGATGCAACAGAAAGAAAGTTCACAGACACGGAGAGTCACCAGCACAGGAAGCACCATTCTAGTCCGAGGATGGCACACCCCCATGTCATCTGGGCTCATTTCTCCTCTTGTCCTCCCCCAACATGTGAGTGCTATGTAGCTAAGGGAGCTCAGAGGTAGTGGATCCTTCCAGCCCTCCCTCCTGGCTTACACTGCTGACCTTGTTTTCTTCTAAAATAATGAGCATCATGAGGATTTCAAAGTGAGGAGGAGCCACACAGGTCCTACTGACAGCCCACTATGACCAGTATGGGCATATGACCAGTATGACCAGTAGGGCTGACTGGCCAAGGTGGGCTGTGCATGACAAAACCATCTTCTCAAAGGCCTTTATGTCTCCTGTGGCCATGGCCTGGAAGCTTCCCTCAGATGTCCACACGGGATAGCTGTTGCTGAAGGATCTTCCCTTTGAGAGGTTCTCCCTGGGCATCCTACAAAACCTGTCCACCAGTTAGAGTTGTACTGCTTTGCATGTGCACGCCTTGAAGAACAGTGGCTTTTTGGCTTGGCTCACTGTTACACTCCCCTCACTCAAGTCAGCAACAATAAATAACAGGTAGTCAAGGAACATTTATGGAATGAATGAAAGAAGAAAACTGTAGTCCTTTAACAAGTCTGTATTAGAAACTTTCGGTGTGCCCCACCCTACAGAATGTCCCAGGAAGATGGCTGAGTCCTGGTTTTCTCAGGAGAAACTGTCTCACCACTGCTGCAGTCCTCCGAGACTTACCCCATGAGACAGCAAGAGGGAAGAAGAGGGCTGGGGGGGAGGGGGCTGTACTGCTCCATGGGGTATGACCTATTCCAGAAATATCTTCAAACTTGCTTGGAAGGTAAACCCAGGCAGGAGTGCCCATTAAGGCACCATATCCTTAGATGCAGTTAGCACCTCAGACTCCAGAGCTTGAAAGGTAAGCCGTTAGCCCTTTGGCTCTCTGAGAAGACAGGAAGCCTAGGTGACTGAGCCTGGCGAGCCTCCAGGTCAATGAAACCTAGTGAGCTATCTTGCTGGGGAATTCTCCCAGAAATCTGACCTTTTAGCAGAGGATGATGTCCTCCCACTCCATCTTCTCATTTGTGAACTCTCTGCCTTAAGCACAAGACAGCCATCTCAGCCTCTCTGTGGTTTTCCCTTCCATCAACTGTGGAGATTGACAGGATGATAGCTGCCCCAAAGTCTCAACTCTATACCCACAATCACGGTATTCAAGTACAAGGCCAATTCCAAAAAGGTAACCACAGTTCCAGACCCCTGATGCAAGACATAGCAACACCCATTATTTATACAGCCTTCAGTCCCAACATGTTGGAGCCAGGACACAAGGATTTCTGTGTGTGTGAAAAACATACCCAACAGACAAATGGACATATGCATTTGTTTGCGAAATCAGTTTCAATTGAAAGACTGGAAATTCTCTATAACCGTTTTCTGTTTTCTATCCAGTTTTCCCAAATGTCTGATTCAGTCCTGTCTCATGGTTTCTTCAAAGTAGGAGTAAGGAATTGGGACTCCTAAAGAAAGCAGAGAAGTTGGGCAGGATGGCGCCCATCTGTAATGCCAGCAGTCTGCAGACTGAGACAGGTGGATTACAAGTTTGAGGTGCTGGGCTACAATAGCAAGACCCTGTATCAAAACAAAATGGCAGAGGAGTTAAGGGAAGGCCCTATAAAACAGAAACCAATGCCCTGCCTGAGAATGGGCAGACCAGCATTTTGCCATGGAGAGAAAGGAGAGGCTCACAGGGCCCTGCACCTTCTTGGGGAACCATATGCAGTTAATTATTGCTGGAGAAGACAAAGAGACATTTTCTTCAGTGGTGTAGGTATTGCTAAGTAGCCCCTGCTTCTGTAAACAATCCCTCATCCAAGTTCTAGTAAGTAACCTTAATTTAACTCTTTGGTACACACACACACACACACACACACACCATGAAAGTAGGCCACCAGTGGGAGAGGGAGAAGAACATGAGAGGGAAATTGGGGTGATCATGATCAAAATACATTACATACATGAATGAAAATATAACAAAAGCCATTATTATACAATAGTATATGCTAATAAAAACTTAATAAACAGAAGTTGATGCACAGGTTAACATCAAGGTCGTCCTCTTTGTAAGGGAAGTGGAGAGAATGATACCTTGTTCGAAGGTTCTCTGGTTGAGGCGGGCCATCAAACACCGACAGGACATCAAAGTCCTCCTCCAGGGCAAAGGACTGGAACACGAGCTGGATCCTGTGCTGGTCCTCCGCGGTGATGGTCCACGTGCAGTTGGCATAATTGGGATAACCATAAGGGAACCCTGGGCTCTCCACTGTCCCATTGGGACCTTGCAGTTGGAACGTACAGTTCTGGCCTAGAAGAGAGAAAGGAAGTCATTTAGTGTCACCAGAAGAACTCCCAGAAGCCTCCAAGAGACAGGAGCACTGTGTCCAAGAATCACAAGCTTATTTTCCCAAATGCTTCCTGTGGGCTTGGTACCTAGGGAGGGAAGATAGGTAACTCACCTGGCCTGTGGTAAACAGTGTACAGTTTTATCCAAGCCTCAGGACAACTTTGTAAGATGGAAAACTGATGTTCAGCATTTACAGTAAGGACACAACACAAGCAGGTGGCATCCAAGACCTTACAAACAAGCCAGGGACCACCTCAAGCTTCTTCCATTGCCCCACAGTTTCCTGGCTCCCAGGTAATGTCCTCACCTCCCATCCTCCCTAGGAAACACAAGGCATCAGTGAGTGCCCCATGCTGTCATTCTTCCTCCTCCATCTAAATGGGACCATGAGGGCCACATACTTCCTAGCTCTACAAGGTCAAATTCTGGCATGTGTTCTGTCATCTCTCCATTGGAAACTTCCCATTTCAAATGTGCTCTAGTCTCTGCCATTCAGAAAACAACCTCACACCACTCCTCTGTCCCCTCCAGCCCGCCATGTCTCTCCTCCTCTCCACAGCCAGACTGATGAAAATCACAATCTGTCTCATCCTTCTTCCCACGAACTCTCCAGTCCAGGTCTCCCTTATCTCTGCTGTTCCTCATGCCACCTGGCTGGAACAGCTCAGACTTCACTCTGTGCTTGTCAACTGTATATCTGGCTCAAATGGAGCTTAGGGTGGAACAGCCAGTAGGAGGGGTGGGAGCGATGGGAGGAGTGGGACAGGAAGTATTTCTCCCTGGCTTCCCAGTGCTGCTGCCACTAGGGGAGGACCTCACCCGCCACAGCCACTCTACAGGGCCCCCTTCACACCACTGCAACCTCCTTCTCTTCCCTGACTGCTCCCCCACCTCCAGTCCATTTCTCTTCTTGTTCACAGCCCCTTCTGCTGGCTCTGTGGTGGAGCCCCTCCTCCTTCTGTAGCACACCTTACTTGTGAACTAATGGCAAACCATCACACAGTTCAGGCCAGATGCCAACTGGGCTCCAGGACCAACAACTGCTTTGGGATGCACACCCACTCTGTCCTCTCCTGCTGCTCCTTCACTTTGGGAATAGAGTGGCTTTCCCATCACTTGGTCTAAATAAAATCCACTGGAAGTGACATTTTCCTCTCCTTCACCACCCCATGGCCGGTGTCTCTGTTTCTGTGCCATTCCCGTCTCCCCACACCAAGCTTTTCCCTGGACTCCAAAAGTATCCATCCACATTTACTCTGGTCCTTATTGAGCTCTCCATATTGTATATGGAGGCATGTTTTCAAGACAGAGATCAGATTAGGTCATCTCCATCACCACTGCAGCAAACACTTGGCGGTTCCTCATTCCTCTTCAACAAGAAAAGTAAGGTCCGCAAGGGTCTTTGCACGGTTTGACCCTTAGAGATTTAATCTGCCTTCACATCTAGCTTTCCGGCAAAAGCCCTGCCTTCGTCAGCTCTGCATACCTGCCACACTCTCTCACTACATAGCCACAGGACCTTTGCATGCCTAAGCTCATGCCATCACAGCTCTTTGTCAGCACTTAACATAAAAGCCAACTTCCGGCTTTCAGGTGAGTGTTTGAGGGAAGTATACACATGAGATCAGGGGGCATGTGTGTTTAAATCTTTAATTCTGGTGACCCTGCAAGCTGAGTCATAGGCAGGCACACAGTTCTCAATCTAGTAGGCCGTTTGTATTCACTTAGTGCTAGAATTTTGTCTATATTGACTTAATATGCACAATAGCCAGTCATGGTAGACACTATTAATGTCTCCATTTTACAGGGGCAGAAGTAGAGCAGAGATAAATTAAAGAACGGGACCCCAGCTACCACGACTCAGTGGTGGGATTTCACAAAGCAGGCTGCTTTTTTATGGCGGTGCTGATAAGTTGACTCAACACTAATTTTTTAAAGCCCCTTTAGGGATTAACTGACAAAGGACACTTAATCTCTAAAATGACTTAATATTAAGAAATCTCTTAATACAAAGTATCCCATTAAAGAGGGAAAAGTTAAGGGCTTCTGAGTAAATGCTAAAGAGGCATGTAATGAAATTAGACATGTAACTCAGGTTAAAATAAGTATTTTGAATGAGGAAAAGAATATTTCCTTTTGTTTTTAAACAGTCCCTGACATTTGATAAGGATCAGGAATGGGACGGTGATGTCACCATCCTCCCTCAAATTTCATGTCTTACTGGAAGAACACTAACCATGTGACACCAGAAAGAGAAATGAAACAGGAGGAAGCAGAGAGACACTGGCAGATGCTATGTTAATATACCTAGAAAGCCCAGGAGAGTCCATTATAAAGCTATTAGAGCTAATAAGAAACTACAGCAAAGTAACCGAATGCAAATAATATACACAAGTCAATAATGGGGCTGAAGAGAAGGCTCAGCAGTTAAGGGCACTGGCTGTTCTTGCAGAGGACCCAGGTTCAATTCCCAACATCCACATGGCAGCTAACAACTGCCTGTAACTCCAGTTCCAGGAGATCTGACACAGCTCTTCTGGTCTTCATAACATTGGATGACATAGGTACACTTACATGTAGGCAAAACACTCATGCACATAAAAAAATAAATATTTTAAAAATCAATAACGTTGGTATATGCTGGCCACAGGAAAAAAGCCAAAGGATAAAGTCCTTTCAATGGCAACTACAAATTGTATATTATATATAGAAATAAATTAGTTAGAAATATATAGGCAGGCTTCAGTGGTATATCTCAGTGGTCTAAGGCTTGCCTAGCAGGCATGAAGTCCTAGATTTCATCCTCAGTGTCCTGAAACAAAGAGAAGAAAGGAGAGAGAGAGAGAGAGAGAGAGAGAGAGAGAGAGAGAGAGAGAGGGAGGGAGATAAAAGAGAAGGAGGGAGGGAGGTAAAGAAAGAGAGGGAGAGAGAAAAGTGAGAAAAGGTGGGAGGAAAGAAGGAAGGAACAAGCAATCTACGAAAATAACTTTTGCAGAGGTATTTTTAAAAATCAAAATAATTGAGAGACATAATGTAGTCTCGAGTGGAAAGACCTAACTACTGAAAGGTTAATTTATAATATTAACCTCTTGAAAAGTTATTGAAAAGTTAATTTATCAGCCTAATGCAATGCTCATCAAAAGCCCAGGGACATTTTTTAAATTTGGTGAGATGATACCTCATTTTAACGGGAAAATAGATTATTATGGACAATGTATCTTTTTTTTTCGGTCTTTTTGAGACAGGGTCTCCCTGTAGCCCCAGCTGTCCTGGAACTCACTATGTAGACCAGATTGGCCTTGAACTCACAGAGATCTGCCTGCCTCTGCCTCCCGAGTGCTGGGATTAAAGGCATGCACCACCACTCCCAGCTTTTTTTTAAAGGTAGTGAATTTAGTATTCTCATCCTCAAAGATACTAAACTGTATCATAAATAGCATTTGTAACCGTGTGCAGGGTCTTAGAGTGGACAAACAAAACAATGACCAGCACTGCAAGAACAGCCTAACACACACAAACTGAGATAAGAAAATATTTTTTAGTCTGTGAAAACAAAAACCAAAATAACTCTTTAGGGAATGGATTAGCTTCAGAATTCATGCCATATAGCAAAATAAATTCCACAAGAAATAAAGAATTAAAGAACTCAAGTCTCAGGTCTGGAGAGATAGCTCAGCGGTTAAAAGTACTGGCTGTTCTTGCAGAGGACCTGGGTTGGATTCCCAGTGCCCACATGGTGGCTAACTACCATCTGTAACTTTGGGTCCAGGGGATCTGACGCCCTCTTCTGAACTCCACAGGCATTGCACAACATTGGTGCACTTACATACCTGCAGATGACACACTCATAAAATGCACATAAAATAAAAATGAGAAATAAAATACTTTTAAAAAGTACTCAAGTCATAAAATTATTAGATGAAAAGATTGATAAATCACTTTTGTGGTTTTCTAATTTTCCGGAATATGCTACAAGATTGACAGTTTACTATAAAAGTCTATGCAAGTAAAGGATAGACACAAAGTCAATAGGCATACAAAAATGCAGGGTAGAAAAGTAATACTCTCAACATGGGAAGAACTATTACTAAGAATAGCAAAAAGAACAAACACTATAATTGAGCAGTGGGCAGGGCATAAACAAGTTAGTTCACAAATGAAGACACAAGAAGTAATCCATGGAAATAAAGAAGAAAAGTGTCCATCTCTACAGCTTTCCAGAGAACCCAGGTGCCCTTCCCTGAACACCCCTTTTCTGTCATGGGCACCAATACTGAGTCTCCAGCTTGTCCTTACAAGACCAGTCATGTCATTGCATTAAGTCATTTACTGGTTCATTCCTCTGGGTCAGTCCTATGCTAAGTCATAGGGCCTGGATCACAGACTAGATAAAGCCCTGATCCACCCATAGGAAGCTGTGCCAAAGGAGTATCAAAGTGCTTCTGAAATACAGACTCCACAGAGACTGCAGCCTGAGAGCCATCCTTGCTCAGGTTACATGTAACCACTGATACCGTCATTTACCACCATCCCCAGGACCAGGGGCAGCTTCCCAACCCTGGGCATGCAGACCTGGAACAAATGATTTTTGTCATTATATAGAGAGAAGCAGAGGGTTTTAGAACATGGTCCTGGGGGCATTTTTCACATAACAGGACAGGAAGGGTGAAAGGGGAGGAGGCAGAAGACAGGGACAACAGAAGAAATGACCAGAGTACAGATCGCAGAGGAGAAGGGAGCTCAAGGTGGAGGATGCCATGAGAGACTATGATGAAGGTCTTAGATGAGGTCACTAAGTTTGATGTATAAATGGTCCCTTTGTAAGTAAGATTGTTTTGCGCAAGAACTCTGTCTGGCCCCTGTACATTCCCAGTGCTCAGAATCAATCAGTATTTGCTAAGGAGATACATCGGTTTTGGCAAAGGCAGACAGGAAGGATTGAGCAAGTTGGGCACAGGCCA